TAAATATCATATGCGATATATTTTCGAGAATCAGAACCCAGGTTTGAAATCAGTGGCATGTCTGACTACGTTTACACAGCAACGTTAATTCTGATTAGTAATTATCGTAGTTAGTGAATTCGCGAATCCAATTGTAGTACATTTTTAGATCTAAAAGAATATACCAATCCAAGAATTTATTAACTACGTTCGTTATTAATCCGAATTAACGTTGCCGTATAAACGTAGTCTCTGTCGCTCGCTTCAGTGTGTTATTTATAATATTTCAAGAGTAAAGTCTGTACTTTAAGGAACATTAGTTGGATTTTCAATTTATTCTCTTCCCTTCCCGCAGTTTTTTCACAAGTAAAAACGTGTAGCGTCTCCAAAAAAATTGCACAATGTATCCTACGGGGTAGAATAAATTTTTCCGTAAATTTCATGATAACTACCCTTATAGAAATATCATACTAAGAATCATTGATAATTACTTATTATCCAGTATTTTTAATACTGAAAATAGGTAGTTATCAATGATTTTTAGTATGATATTTCTATAAGGGTATCGTTAAGTATAGGCTTTCTTCCACAATTAAAAAAAAGCGGATTTGTACAATTTTTTTTTCGCACAGTTTTTTGCGACATATCAAAGTTAGCTATGAATTTTTTTTAAATCGCTTAATTGACGCATTCTACTGGAATGAATTCTTCTCACAAATTTTACGATAACCATTGTAAAATATGAACGTTTCTTTGCAAATAAGAAAATTAAGAAGAAGTGTGCATGACTTTGTTCCGCGGCATATCAAATGTACCGAAATGCATATGAATTTTTAATCAGTTACCGTTAGCATTAACATTATCGATGCGTACCACGGGGAGGTTGCTGGTCGGGTCTTGCGCATTATATGTGTGTGTGTGTGTGTGCACGTCACAATACTGATTAAAAATGTATAGGTAACTTTGATACACCGTACAACATCGCGGAAGAAATGTATATCTCTTCTTTATTTTTTTATTTGTAAGGAAACGCTGATATTTTAGAATGATTATCGTCAGATTTGTGAAAAAAATTCATTCCACTCAATAGAGTGCGTCAAATGAAGTGATAACAAAAATGTATAGGTAATTTTGATGTTTTTTTCGCAACTTCACGAAAAAACGCACAAATCCGCTTTTTGTCTTAATTATAGGGAAAAGACTATACTTTACGATGGTTATCATAAAATTTACGAAAAAAATTTATTCCATCCCGTAGGATACGTCACATTTGTGCCATTTTTTGGAGACGCAACACGTCTTTACTTGTGAAAAGACTGCGGAAAGGGGAGAGAATAATTTCAAAATATCTGACTAATAAAGTACAGACTCCACTACAGTACAGGCTCCTTAAAGTACAGACTTCACTTTTAAAATAAAAAAAATGTTTTCAAATACGATGTTTCGAGGTATTATGCTTATTAAAAATTGTGCGACATTTCGACATAAATTAACCTGTGCGATAATTTTGTTGACGAGTGTATGTGTAAAAAAACATTCCATTTAATGTAAGAATTAATTAAATAGTAAAAGTACGCACACGTGAGAAGCAACACGCGAGCGTCGAGATATAATAAAAAGGCCTAGGCATGATTCTCGCCGCTTGCAGTATTAGCTATAGCTATAAGTCGGGAGAGAGACGGCAGCTTGTACGTCTGCACTCTTCCACCGCCCGAGCCTAAAACGCGCGCTGCCTCCTGAGAACTGCGGGATGAGAAAAAGATCCTTGTTATTCCTTGTTTCCTCTGTTATACTTGTCTGATTCATAGTATAGTCAAGAATTGGGAGAATGTTACATTATACAATCATAATTATGTATGAAATTTGTCCATACATGTTAATACATGTTATATATATATAATCATATATATACATATATATATATAGAAAAAATTACTCGGATACATTATTGTATTCCTGTGCAAAAAAAATTAAATACTCAGATATTAACATTTTAGCAATAATAATGTTGGCTTTAGTGCTATGTGGGGATAAATTGTTTTATTAAATGTCAGATGTTCCGAAAAATGTTGAAAAAAAATATATATCAACCTGTCCGTAATTATACGATTATGTACGGAAAGAACTATATAAAAGTACATAGAAAGTATTTCTCTTTAGAAAGTGATTTTTTTTAATACATATATATTAGAACTGTGAGAAATAATATTCGATTAGAGAATCGATATGACAGAAAAATTTACTTTTAAGTCGATTATACTTGGATTTTAGAATAAAAATTCTGTATAGTCTTAATGAATATCTTACACACACACATAATTTGTATTAATATTCAACAAAATCTTAAACTATGAAATAATTTTAGATAATTGTACGGTTGAATAAAATTTGATTATTTCGTATTTACAGCCACTATAGATACCTATTATTCGTAATGCTTAATAACAAGTAGACTAAGTCACTGCGCTGCAAAAATTGGAGGATAGTTTCTTTTCGTTTCAGAAAAAATTGTATCCACGTTAGATGAGTCCGAAACTTTCAAATAAACAATTGCAAATATTGGACATCGGAACGAACATGTTTCATTAAAATGATTATATGCTTATTTTATAAGTGCAATAAAAATTGTGCTATTAAATGACCTTACAGAAAAAAGTGAATGTCAATTGATATATGTACTGCGAAATATTACGACATGACAATTTAATCCTTGAGTTCTGTTAGAGTAAACTGGAATTATAAAAATGCAATATGTAATTGTGCTAGTATTACCCCGAAAAAAATAGTAATAATAATTTGCTTTTGAAAAAATATTCTTCTCACCTCGCAGTAGTTTGCTAATTTACAAAAAATTATTTTCATCAATAAGAGAACAGGAATAATTATTGCTCGATAATAATAGGTGTCATCCAATATATGTCTTCAAGGGATAATTTATCATCATTGCAAAATTCCTGTATCCGAATCTCATTCATAGCGATTTTTTGCTGTAATATTGTATTTCTATTTTTATACTAGGAGCAAAATATATAAATCTTTTCTTGCATTGAACATTAAAGTACAAATCATTTTTTGCCACTGTCCATATTCAATATATTTTATGGAATAAGTAGAGAACTTTCTTCTCATTAATGTAGAATTGTTAAAATGGAAGTTTTTCCGACGTATCCTGCCAGTTCACACTCGTACTCTGCAATATCATTAAATTTCAATGTTAGTGCAAAAATAAATTGACATGTTTTTATGCAAACGTCGTAATTCAATCCAAGTTTACAAGTGGAGAAGCAACACAAAGTAGGAAATGATTAAAATGAGAATAGATCTTTATATAGCAAAATGAAGTCTATTTTTTAGCTGCATTTCTTTCTAATCCTCCTCTTCTCTCTTTCTCCCTCTAAATAAATTTGTATTTCATGTAAATAAGTTAACATTGTAGAAAATATAACACTACAGTGTTAAAACAAATAGATTTATATATGCATAATTCAATAAGGTTGTGCGATAAAACTTGAAAATTTATTATTATTTTATAATCTTACGGTAAAATTATGTGTAGAATAATCGAGGAGGATGAGAGGAAAAGAGAAGGAATATGAAGGAGAACAAACAACTGAAACGTGCGTTTATATAAAAAAGCAAGTATATGTACATAACTGCTTACACAAAATGTTTTACGTCGCCTACGAAATGCAGCTTAGGTCGAAGATTAAAATTCAAAACATGTACATGCTGTCTTCGTGCGACATTTAGAGATCACCTAACACTGCGAAATGGTACAATCGAGTGTGTGTATGTGTGTGTGTATTTTTGTATAATTTATATTTGTCGCGCATTTATGGATAAACTGTATATGTATATGTCTGTGGTCTCAGGCAGTTTTTTCATTTTTACAATTGAGATATTCTCTCGTTCATGATTTGTTCAGATTTCATGTAAATAAATACTAACTTTCCTCACGTGTGTGCACGCGCACGTAAGTTTTCAATTTCCACAACCTATGCGAAAAATACTGTCGTCGGTCAACAATGTTTCGATTCAAGTTCTTATACAGTACCTTTTCGTACATCGTGACATTCTGTACATCCTGTAGGATCTTGATGAATACGACTTATCTCAGCAACCTGACTTGATCTCGTGCTGAACAAAATAAAGGAAGAAATAAAATAACAGATGATTTCTTCGTAAAAGTATCGTAATTAGTTGAAGACGATATGTTAAAAAAATTCGATGAGTTTTCAACGTTATTCCCTTCGCAATATTTATAAGACAAACAATGTGAAACTAAATTTTATGCGATATACAAAGGGCGGAAATAATTTTTACTATCAGGCAAAAAATATTTAGTATAAAGCACAGTGTAACTTAAAAGGATCGTACAATTCAATCAGTCAAACGTACATAACTTCCGTAATTAGAACAAGAATAACATACAAGTTGCAAAAAAAATCATCTTTGCCAAGACAGCGTTTGGCCTCATGTCGGTAGAAGGTGAGTGTCACCGCAATAGAAATCTTATGCTAGTCAGGTCCACATCATGTAATGATGCACGTCATGTACACATACTTTTGTGTAAAATTAATCCTCACTAATCGCAAGTATTTTTGCCCACAATTGCGGTTCGCTCGCAAACGATGGTTTCTATGTGCATTAGTAACAGAACCGGATTGCACTGAACAATAATACGTGCGAGTACCACATGAGGCCTTTTCATGATGTTGCTACGGCCTCGGTTTCCGATTTCTCCTCCACCAGCTTCACATCTGTCACATGTAGGTTGTGCTCGCTTTTTGCTGCGAACTTGATGACGGCCTGCGTCGATACTTGAGTGGTGTGTCGTAAGTCTAAATGTTTCAATGCTTTACATTGTTCCAGGTGATCCAAGGTAGTTTCAGTAAGTAGTCTGCAGCTGGCTAGGTTTAACGATGTCAAGTTTGGCAGCTTCTGTGTTGCTAGTTGCGCCACACCCAAGTCAGTAAGCCTACCGCATGAGGACAAGTCTAAACTTTCGAGGCACGGCAGATGCTCGACTATGTATCTAGTCCCGAGATCAGTAATATCGCATCCGGCTAGGAACAAATGTTTGAGGTGCTTCAGTCGCGACGTCTTGTCGATGAGACCAGGTCGCGAATCCGTTGGTGGACTCAGAACCTCGTTTAGATTAGCATCGTTTAATCCGGTAACGTAACTCAGATCCAACATCGTTAAAGGTGGACAGCAACAGGTTCTCAAACCGCCAATTGCAGTCCAGGCGCAACCTTGAAGAGATAATGTTCGTAATTGCGGTAGTCTGGTTAGTAACCAAATCAACTGCTTTTTGTTAATGTTGGTCCAATCGAGTTTAAGATTCTCCGGTTGTCTGCGTACAATGAAAGTCAAATGCAAAGGTTCCAAGCGGATGTGTGACATATCGAGTTTCTTCCATAGACTGGAATCTATGCTATATCTTGCCCAGGTACGACAGACCAAGGCACAATTAAACAGATCTCTTACGCTAAGGTATCGAAAAACCGAAAGCGTCACTGTCTTATCGTACGCCAGATTTGATACGTCTTCATCCGATCTCGGAATAGGTGGTGGTGGCGCAGGTCTAACTACTACGTGCGGCCTGATTAGATTTCTGCTGGTTCCGGCGATCAATTGCATTGCCAAGTGGTTGCGCATAATTGTTCTTCGTTCATTATCAGCTGCTTCTGCGGGGGAATCGTTTACCTGAAGCATAAACAACGTGGAATTTATACATCAAAATAATGATAACTTTTAGAAGTACTACCTTGAGATCCAGTTGTAAATACATAATTGAGAACACACATCAAAAACACAAACAAATTATTTAACTAAAATACAAACTGCAACTTTTTTGTAAAAGTTCATTCACCTCCTCCATCCTTGGTTGTTTATTCGGTGTTGTAGCTCGTTCAGAATCCGAGGTTGGTGCCGATGATCCTGCGCTCGATACTGACAGCTTCCGCGAGCGAGATTTTGGTTGACGGGGCCGATAATCAAGATTTCGACCCCGTTCACAACACTCAGGACACTCCCAACTATTCGGTACATCGTCATTAACTGTTGTTATCTCTTCGAAATTCAGACCTATACATTCTGGATGTACGATATCGAAGCATATCGAACATTCCATTAACTTCGATGGTATATTGGGAATTGGTTTACCTGTAATTGTTATTTTAGATATTCGTACATATTACTATCATACTCTGTCACAAGAAGACAACACACAGTAATATTGTTAAGCAACATGATTATAATGTGATATAACACTAATTTGAAACTAATAGAAAAAACTTATATATTGGACAATACAAAGTATAAACAATAGGGGCCAATAATTGTTAGTGGTATAATAATATAATTTAAAAACTTCTTTTTTAGCATGTATAATAAATCATTTAATTATGAAACAATTGTGTGTATGTGTGTGTGTGTGTATATATATATAACTCTATATTTAATATTTGACTTGTATTCGTATAACTGAATTTTAAGTGGAAGTAAAATTTAAATAATAAGAATTCTAAGAATATATAGAAATATGTTATCTAAAAAATTGGTTGGATCATGCATTAAATACTTGTATGCAGATTATTTTTATAATCTATTAAAACACTCGTTAATTCTTTGTCAAAGTTAAAAATTGCGAATTATTAAGTTTCATTGCTAAAGCAATAGAAAGCAACAGTAATTATTATAAATACACAATATATATGAGATATAATATACAGAATATATTATAAGTTACTTAACAATGCGGATATCAATGATGAAAGAAATTAAAGAGAAAAATTATTAAATATTAAATAAATTGTATCTTTTAACCAAATAATGCAATTTTTTATGCAGTAGTATATGCTAAAGTTTTATACTTAGAAATACAAATATTTCATATTTACATATTTTCATCTAACTAAATAATGCAATTTTTTATGCAGTAGTGTATGTCAAAATTTTATATTTAGAAATACAAATATTTCATAATTACAAAAAGAATTTGTAGACTTGGATATAATTGAAAATTGTAGAATAAAATTAACAAAAGCTATATGCGATTTTGCAAAATATGTATATATAGTGGTACAATAACAAAATAAAATAAAATAAAATAAAAATGAAAAGCATTTAAGCAAACATATATGTTCAATTCATTATAAATTATACATACCCATTAACGGTGCTGGTGGTTGTCTCCAACCGTCCAATTGACAGATTTTGCAAGCTGATGTAACCGGCAACATAGGCCTCAGGCATTGGCGCATCAGGCATGTTTGTTTAGCGCGACCAGTTCCACCGAATTTTACCATGTCTTGACAGTAGACGCACTCTCGACAATCCTGCCTGGTGCAAGCTTCGCATTTCTTACATCTGGTGCGTCTTCTACGCGGAAACGCTCTCTCGGACTTCTCTGATGGGAGCCTTGGTATCTTTACAAAACCTTTCCGCGCCACTCTTAGCCGTTCCTATCATAGAAATAAAGCAGTGAGATTAAAATTGGCAAATCTGGATTTATTTCATGTATGGTTTTGCAGGTGATGAACATACCCTGTCGGCAATAGTGAGTGGTGGTGGCGGTGGTAATACAGCATTTCCTGTTACAGCAGCTTCGGGATTGTCGTGTCGATGTTTCTCCACCAAACAGCGCACGTCATGGATCAAGGCAACAGGGTCGCGTATGAGTTCCGGCACATTTTTCTTCGTTGACGGCAAAGAATGTAGATACATAACTATTGCTTTCAAACCATGTAATTCAAATGGAGTTATGTGTAAGTGCTGATGCTGTGATGGTACTGAATGTTGTTTCTGCGATTCAGCTATTTCTAGGTGACTTCTGCCCAAGAGCACATGCACATATCGTTCGAGAACATACCTGCAAAAATGAATGTAATTATCATACATACAAAAATAACACATTAGATCATGTACATAACAATATCGATGTTTATGTTAAGAGGATGCAAGAATGTATATGAGATAGAAGAAATATTATATATAAATATATTATTATTTAATATATTATTTTATATATTATTTTTTTGTATAAAATTATATAAAATATATTTTATAATTTTTTTAATATATAACTTTATACAAAGAAAAAATATATAAAATATCAATTTTAGTATAAATAAAATATATATTTGATAAATTTCTTTATATTCAAATTCTAAAATATATTATTGACTCACCATAACATTTCTGTGAAGAATGGATAGCGGAACTTCTGCGGCACTTTGGTGTGTTCTTCTACTTGTGCCACTTTCAATTGTTTTTCTATGCCAAAGCTGTGCAGAAAGTTTCCACCAAATACTAGAGAATCCTGAGGAGTGTATACAGCATGAATCCAACCAGTTGGTATAAACAATGTCATACCAGCTGTTAGAGTTATTCTGCCGCATCGGTCTACCATATCACCAAAGAATACATCAGATTGTTTGCCACTTAACACCCATTCTTGATAGAGTGCCAGGTTCTTCTCAGTCGGTGGTATTAGCCAAAAAATTTTACCACCACGCAGAATATGATACCATACACTAGTACCACCAAAGTCGACATGAAAATCAGTATAACATCCCTTCACTGACATCAAACAGTACTTCTGTACTTTTGGATACATCATGTCTTCTAGAAGGTTAGTTGATTCCACCTGAGCATCTTTCAAGTGTCTTGGCCATACCACATCTACCCAATCAACTTGCCGTACTAGTGCAGGTGACTGTACGTAATTCTCTAACTTGGTATGACTAAATTCTAAGGAGATCACATTCAATAGTCGCTCTTTGTTGGGATCCTCGTAATATTTTTGCCAATCCTTCATCGTCATGTCTTCATTCTTCTGAGTATTAACATCCATTACATCCAGTATTCTCTTCGAACCTGTATAGATTTAAAAATGTTATTAATACCTAATGAACACTTTTCTGCTCTTTCACACGAAACTTACCAACACATGTTCTCACATCATTGACTGAAAAATTGGTGCTGGGCACACGCAGCCCCAATCCTGACATCTCTTTGAACAGCAATGGTATTTGTAGCCCATGCTTTTGTAGGTACGCCAAGTTCAAATCAGAGCCATTCATCTCTCGGAAGAGGCCGCTGAAGTTGCTCAGGTCGTACCTTTCACACTCGATCTTCTCATCGAGCTGGAACGTCCTACGACCCTCGATCTCCTCGTCGCCGAGAGTCCAGTCGTCGGTGTATAGCTTTTTAGTTCTTTCACGCTGTAAGTAAGATCCAGGTTACAAAGAACAATATCGACACGGGGAATTCTCGGCTCGACGGAACGGCGTCGTCGTCGCAGCTGTCGCTGCCGCTGTCGCCGCCGTCGCCGTCGCCGTCAATGAACACGCGGTTGGTTTGTTTACCAATTGCCGCCTCTTCGGCAACGCAGAGGACTCATCGGCCATTGCGAACACGCTGTCAGAAACGTATCACCGGTAATTCATGTGGGGGACACTCACTGACACGTTGCCGCACGAAAATAAACGGAGGCCTGGCCAATCTTTCTGTTTAACGGCCCAGTACCTCGTTTATTATTTACATTTCGCACACAATGTGTCCGTAATGTGAACGCACGCACGATCGCACTCCCGCGACGAGATGCGACAAAACGGCACGTAGCTCACAAGTATAGACTGCGCCCTCTTAAGAGAGTGTTGAAGAGAGAGCGTGGAAGGATAGCTATAGTCTATCTTCTAATGTCTACTGCCATGTTATCTCCGTCGCACCAAAGGAAAAGAAAGATTCAAAAATCAAGCTGAACAAAGATAGATTGGTCGTGACTATCTCTTTCCAAGAGTCTTTATGATCTTCAGGTCTTCGCGGTTTTTTGTACAGACCGAAAAGTATTAACCCGCGCGCGCCAAAGTTAAATTCCGCATATATATGTGTTAGCCAATAAGTGATCCTTTGTCCACAACGTTGCTTTAATCTTTAAGCCGTAACAAAATGACCAACTACAGTCGATTATTTTAAAAATAATCAATTTCTGACCAACTGACTTTCGTGCATTTGTCATACTAAAATCGTTAATACCGCGAATATCAGAACAATTTCCGGCAATTTGGCATCGTATTACGCCATTGTTGTAATGCAAATGAGTGGGTTATTGTGTTGGTTCACTGCATCAAACATTCGATACTTCGATTCGAGAATCTCAATCACTGCAACGTTCATTTGCGAAGTGGATCGCGACATGGTAGTTCAGAGTTTCGAGATCGTCCTGCATTTTTCATCATTTCGATTCGTCAAAGTCGAGTTTTGTACATGAATTATCGTCGCTGGAATTGCCGAGTGAAAGGTACGCGCGTTTATCGTAAAATTTGGTTAAGTAGTCGATGTATATGAACAGAATGAACCGTTGATAGTGCCGAATGAAATATACTCAGTTTTTTACATGGCGGTTAAGACCCACACAGCATAGAAGTTTCAAAAAGCTTTCAGAAAGATTTTAGGAAGATCTCAAAAAGGTTCAATGTTTTTGAAACCTTTCTGAAACTTTTGTGCTGTGGGGAGTTAAAATCTTCAGATCGCAACTCGACGTTTTGCCGAATGAGTATCCCACACGCGAATTATCGTCGTCGGAAGTGCCGAATGTAAATTTTGCACCTCTTAAGTAAGCAAAATATCGTTAAATAGCTGTAGACAAGAGCCGTCTCGCGAGATAGACCGTTGGGAGAGCTGAAAAAAAATCATGCGTTCGTTACATTCATTACGAGAGTGATTCAGTATTCGAGAAAGAGAAAGATCCCAGCAAATACAATAACATAACAGTTACATCGTCATAATATAACGGAATGTAACGTGCAATATAACATGTTTGTTATATGTAACATACACATTAGTTATAATTTCTCACTCAAACAATATTGCAACTATATAACAGAAATATAACATGTTACTAAAATGTTATATAGCTGTTATATATATTGCTGAAATATTATATAGCTGGAATAAATTATTATTTCCCAGCAATTATAGGTATTTAATTGTACGCAAAAATTATAAGCTATCTCATATATCACTTAATTTGTAAAAATATTATAATTATATATTTTGTATTAAAAATATTTTTACTAAAGGTGATAACATAAAAGTATCTTGCCATTCTAAATTAATTAGCTCCCAAATAAACCAAGATTCCTAGAATCATCCTAGAGCTATTCTAGGCGTTAAGTGTCTCAATATGTTCTCAGGCATTTTATGCTATTGGAGTTATTTTCATTTATTTATTTTCATTTTTCTGTACATATTCAAACCCTGACAGCACTGGACGTGGCGAGCACATCGTTATGACGTAATAACGTCGTAACGACGTGCTTGTAACGTTCTTGGCACGTCTGTGCAGACAGAGGATGGAAAGGATTACTATTGTAAAAGTAATTTTTATTATCAAAAAGTGTATCACTTCTTTTTACTATAAAAGTGAACTCCATAGTAGTGCAGTCTTATGATCATCGTTCTTATACAAGATACCTCACATTCTCCTCCGGGCATTTTGTGGGGACATAGAACAGGTTGAGGTGAACATAAAAGTCCTATATCGTTTTGCGATATTTGCAATAATTATCGAGATATTAATTGTAGAAAACTTGTAAATAATCATGCAGAATATGGTAAATGAGTTATAGTAGCGACGACTGCCGTCGTGTACTTATACTTTAGGTTAAATTGAACAAAAAAGTCTTTTATTTCAAATTAAGATTTAAAATTTATCATTTTCCAAATAATCACATAGATTTTTAATTATTAATTAAAGAAGATTATTGCACGATTTTGCGTGATAATGCACGCATTTTCTTTAATTAATAATTAAAAATCTATGTGATTATTTGCAAAATGTAGAGGACTTTTTTGTTCAATTTGACCTAAAGTATAAGTACACGACGGCAGTCGTCGCTATTATAATTCATTTACCATATTCTGCATGATTATTTACAAGTTTTCTACAATTAATATCTCGATAATTATTGCGAATATCACAAAACGGTATAGGACTTTTATGTTCACCTCAACCTTCTACGTCCCCACAGAATGCCCAGAGGAGAGTGAGACACCCTGTATATTTAATGCATCATATTTTACGTACGAGAAAGACACGAGAAAACGGAAGCCATCTAGTGAATGATCTGATCTTTAGATATAAGAATGCTATATAATATAGATGTAATGCAAATAAATGCTTGTTGTATAACATATTATATTGTAGTTATGTTGATGTTATATAATTATAACCTGTAAATAACAGAGAATTATAACAGTTCTAAAACACAGATTGCAGTTATAAAAGAAAATTATGTAACTTTAACATTAATAACGTATAATATCCGTTATATTACGTGTTACTTCTATGTTATATAATATTTATATTCTGTGTTTGCTGGGGAGAATAGCTGCCATCTACGTTTTCGACTCGCCAAAGAAAAAGTTGGCGAGTGTCATTAGAGCTAAGGTTGGAACTGATAATGCGTCTATGAACTTATATCCCACATAGGAGGAACGTCCCAAATATATCATAAGGATATCTTGAAGATATCGCATATCCCAAATATATCTTTAGGATATCCCTGTGATATATTTTGGACACCTCTGCTGTGTGGGTACGTATCTTGCATATATTTTATTTGCAATTTTAGATGTAAGGTTAAGACTGTGGTTTCTCCAAAATATAGGAGGAAAATTGCTTACAAGTATATTGCTTAGAATTAAGAATAAAATTGAAACCAGTGTAGAGAATATGAGAAAACATATTGTTGTATTTTATAAGCTAGTGGTAGGCATTACAAATCTTTTTTGTAATATGCTGACATTCATATCTATAATCAAATGTTAATTCTCTCTAAGTGATGTTAACTTTAAGCCTAGACAATATGCTTTAAATGTAACATTTGCGCGCGCTGTATGATTTTTATTATTTCCTCATTCAAATAATTATACTCTTAGGACAGTCGATAATATCAATCCTCTTCAATTATCGTGGGCTCCAATGGTAGTCAGGAAATTTTTATTTAGATTATCGACGCGGTTTGTTGATAATCGGTTGAGCCTACTGTCGCTAGGTGCCACTTGGCCTCCAACGCTTCAAAATTAGGAAATGGCGACTACGATGGAGATCGACGACGACGAATGTGACCTGCCAACTTCCAGTAGCGGGAAAGGCGAGAAAAAGCGTTTTGAGGTGAAAAAAGTAAGTGAAAACACATAAATTGATTATACGAAACTGATTGTACTTATAATTATCTCTCGCCATACAAGTGTCGTTTTCCTAACCTTATTCACGCTTTGTCACGTTCCCTGTGTGTAACTCTGGTATATTGATATACTAGTGTATCTGTTATTCACGTGTTATTCACGTGTTTATTTATGTCTGTTTTAGTGGAACGCAGTAGCATTATGGGCATGGGGTAAGAAATCAAGTCAATTATTGGAATTATAAAACTATCAATATAGTATATATAATAGTATATATCATATAGGTTATGTATGTATAAGGCTATAGTTCCTAATATATTGCTTTTCACAGACATTGTTGTGGACAATTGTGCTATCTGCCGTAATCACATTATGGATCTGTGCATTGAGTGTCAAGCGAATCAAGCATCTGCTACAAGTGAGGAGTGCACAGTAGCTTGGGGTGTATGCAACGTACGTTGAATACTATTACTTCCAAGTTAATATTGTTATGACTAATATTCTGATTGATTCATTCCATAATCGTATGTCTTTCTTCAGCATGCTTTCCATTTTCATTGTATCTCACGTTGGCTGAAAACACGTCAAGTATGTCCACTTGACAATCGTGAATGGGAATTCCAGAAGTAAGTATATTTTGCTTAATTTATGTATAATGTAAGACTTATACTATATTGGTATATACAATTTATATGTTAGTTTTGATATAATTAATTCATACATGTAAAAGATAACAGTTTTATTGTTTCTGTTTATAGGTATGGTCACTAATTATACACTTGTGCAAGTTTAGTCAGTTGCATGATGGGATATAATTTTCAACTGGAGTATTCTTTTTTCACACGTCAAACATAATTACACTGAAGATCTGTGGATGAATAAAAAGAAAAACAGATACAAAAGAAAAATACAAAATCAATAGTTTGTGCATTGTCGAATTTACTACTCTTCTTGTTACTGGAACAAATATTTAAATGATAAGCATTCGACTAATTTACAAGTTTAATGTCATTAAATTATATGATTATCTAACTTATAGGCTGTAAGTCTTATAATAAATAAACATGTGATAAGATATATGGAATGATTTATTTTTATTGTTTTTTATTTGATTTGTTTTTTATTTGATTTTTTGTCTTTCTAAATGGCACATTATAAATTTCGTTAAATTTAAAAATATTGCGGAGTGTCAGATTATCTTTCAATACAAGTAATGTTTATTTGAGTTTGATATTTTACTTGTCACACGAGTTTGTGATATGTGGAGTAACTATTGAATAAAGAATTGAAGAATCTGAGTCTCAATATTTTTCGTTGAGAATTGCAAGAATTTTTTATTCGGTATTCAATCAATACTGGTATAAACTCGTCGTACAACACATATGTGCTTTAATGTCAATTATATGTACGTTTAATATAAAGATTACATATTTAAATATGGTATGAATCAATATTGCGCGCTATTTATCCGGATATTATTTGTTCTGTCACGATGGGGATCCTTTTAACCGTAACTTTGATTAATCCGATTATCAGATCTTTCAAAGATTTCGTCTAGTAAAAGTTTCGTCCCGTTCCAGTGACAAGGACGGGACGAAGCGAATACGGAAGGAGTGTGGGATGATAGCTACACACTTTTCACCTCTGAAAATCGCGTCCTCTCATTCGCTATAATATCTCTATACGATCCTTTCTTTTACTCTACAATTTTAATTTTAATGTGAGAGGATTTAGATAGGATTTTCATCAAAATTTGCACGAATTAGAATTTGTAAAATTTCCAACAAATCTTTATCTCTTTGTTCCGTTAATATAATTCACGTACCTTTTGTGAGTACTTATCATGGCTTATATGAAACATCGTACGTTGTACTTGATACGGTTCGCCGTAAGCCGTATTAATAGCAATGACATTTATTTAACATAGTTCGGTGTATATACGTCTTCATTACGCTCAAGGCGATTCCACAAATCCGCGCCGATGCGGATACGTAGCTCCTTAACGGGATATAACGGGCGCCCATCGTCGTCGTCCGTGACGTCACGTCACGAGGTCGATCGATCGCACCGAGATCATCTCTCGAATCCCTTTTCCAGTTCTAGGGCATTCAGGAGGAGGCTGGCATACGGCAGGCAATACTTATCAGACGGCCTGGAACCGGCTAGGTCCCGACAAGCCGGCTTCTAATCTGGGCATACAGCGAAAATTACATCTTCTCTCGGCATTGCGGGGGAGAGGAGTGGGAGAGCAGCCGGTCGACATCCGCCTAGAGAGAGCAACGGTAAGCTTCTTCCATCTCGATTCTTACTCTGCCTGTCTGCCGTCTACCTCTAGATCCCGTGCCTTATTCGGAGGATTCGCGCGCAGGATGAAAACAAAAAGAGAGGTAGAGTAGGGGGATAGAGAATGAGAGAAAGAGAGAGAGAGAGAGAGAGAAAGAGAGAAAGAGACACAGTTCGCGCACCTGCTCTAAGAAAGCTTATGAATAGTCAGACGTGGGAAGGGGGTAGGTCGGGGCGTTCGCACCCCTTCGAGAAAGGCGTGGAATCGATGGTGAATGCGTGGGTGAATCCCGGTAGGTCGATCGGTCTAATGATCAAATAGATCTTATATTAGTTTATGTCAGAGTTCAAACTAATTAGCGTTAAGAACGAAGCATGAGATATATATATTTTTCACGAGGAGATTTTTAGCCGGATAAAGCGATATTTTCGCAAGCACCACTTCGGGGAATTATCCCTTAAAATGTACACAGATGTCTGAATTTTCTTGGGCTGCCTCGAGATCCGAGAATGAGATACAAATAGAAATAGAATAGAAATTTCTAGACAGCAGTGATGCATAATACATCAGCAGCGTATATTACATTCAGATGTGAGATTCTTTGATTATTCAATATCGCGACTCTCATCGTTGTATTGTAACAAATACACGGATTTTTATTATTATGAAATAATGATAAGCTTCATTAGTTTTCTATTGGTTGTGTTTTATTCTCGTATGCAGCACTCGATCAGATTCGGCGTGTCTGAAAATATGGCACAGATACAAATAAAATTTTCTCAGTGTTCGCTCTTTAGTTTACTTTTTATATTACAGTGATATTAAAAATCACTTAAAGCTGATTTTATTCAGAATATTTAATTATAGTTTTTATTAAAGTTAAAAACTTCAAAATAGCTCCGTCACACAATAAATTAGTTTTGTCCGAAAAACTAGAGAGAGAACAGGATAACATCATATCGATATAATGAAAGATCTCGATAAATCCAAGATCAAGCGTTTATCTCGCAGCGAACAAATCAGAATCTGCTCTCCGACCTCGTCGCTACAGTTTCTTGTTGTTACACGAGGAATTTGCGAGTTTCGAGTGTGAAAACGCCTCCTCTAAACGCGACTACGGCACGCCGAGAGGAACATCACGGTGAAAGAGCGTCGATTTTTCGGCTCCGCGAATCTTGCTTGTCACAGCTCGTCGCGGCAGGTGCGTACATTCGCTCGTAATATTTACCTGGGCGCGAGAGATGGGATATAAATACGATTTTCATCCTCGACGACGACAGCGAGGGCGTTAGGGACGACGGGAGGGCGAAGGGTGTTGCGGAGGGAAGGATGATAGGGGGAGTAGGTCGCTGGCGCGGGGGTGCGGAGTTTAGCGAAGGCCTCATTTCCGGCGGAAACAGAGGTTCTCTCACCCCTGATAAAAGCCACCCCTGTCCCGCCGTCTCTCCCCGCTTGCCCTCCTTGTTTCAGTCCGATGACGACGGCGGCAAAGGCCAATCGAATTAAATACATTCCCGAGGATCGTCCAATCCAACGGTGGCTCTGCCGCGGTTTTTGTCTCGCGGTTCGTCTGTCCCAATGCGAACACCGTTCATCCCTTACTTCCCCTTAAATCTTAGTGTAAATCTACTTTCTAGAGGTAAATTTACTCTGGAAAGCCGGTTAAGGCTGTTAAGCTGTCGTCACTGCACTACACCTGAAGCCTGCTTCACTGAAATCCTTTAAGTTTCATCGTTACGTAGTCCCGTAACCGCTGACGCCTGTTAGTGAAAATAATTGTGCGATTCTTTCGATCTGTATATAATATTCGTGTCTGTGACAAATATGCGATAGCGTGAGAGAACCAACACATCATTTCAATTTATGATATTGAGATATTTTAACGTACGACTCGAGTCGAAATTTTGGTCCTAATCTGGCGAATTAATCTTACAAATTCCGTAGAACTTGAAGGACTAACAGAGAATCTCTCGAGATGTAACTCTATACAGATTGTTGACCTACTTTGATATTAGGAATAATTACATACTATTATTCTCCTTATGTTAAGGCTTAAAAGACTCATTTAAGAATTATTTAATTTATTTGATTATTTTAATATATTTTTATCTAAACTTAATGTTTATTCTTAATTTTAATGGGTATAATGAATTAATTGTGCAGTATATTAGACTGCGGATAAAATATGCAATTAGCAAATATTAAATATTTAATAAGTAATAAGTTTATTAATTATTAGTAATAATTAGTAAACAATAAATAAATAGATAATTAAAACAATCAACGTTCTTTTCTTATAATCCTTTTAGTATTTATCTTTTTTATCGAGCTTGGAAATTTTCATAACATCTAGAATTTGAAAAGAGATGAGGAAATTTGTTAGGCAGTAGTGTGTCCACACAATATGTATCCAATAAAGCTATGTACCAATAGAAATTTCAATTCAGATTCGTATAATAACGATTTACATAATAACAAAAAATTGCAATAGCATAAAATAATAAAGACTTAGATATAATAATAAGTGTAAACATGAAAAGAAAGCGTTAACAAATTCAAGATGGGACATATGGCCTACGGAGCTTTATTAGAGACGCAAATCAACGCTTGCTAAATTTGGAATATGTTCAAAATTTGGTCTCGGGCATTTACGATGCATGTCCCGATTTGCTTGAAAAGTCTGGAATATTTTAGTAACGTTGACTATTATGATCTCTCATTCAATATATGTTTACGTTTTCGACTGCCGGGCAACGACGGTTGCCGGGCCGATTGTTTTGGAAATTTCGTGCGTAACCGTGATTAGGTCATTACGTCTCGAGCCGGCGAGCGACGTACATATCACGGAGTACGTATAGCGACGCGTTTATTATTTTCGTCGGTCTTTAACCCTTTATTTGGCAGATACAAAAAGATTTAGGGAAAAACATTTTAGAATGTTTAAATGAAGTAAGCGACGTCTCCTTGGAATGCAATTATATTGTTTGCGATTTATCATCTTGAAAACATTTTCAACAACTTTTATCATCTAGTGGCAAAAGTCGAAATTATTGAGATACTGGCGGACAAACAGGTAATCAGATAGTTGCTCCAGAGCAATAGTGCTGAATAAATGCACGCTGCATTTATAGTTGTATGAGAAATCAACGTTACTTGAGAGAGATATTGTCAAATAAAGGGTTAAAATATTCAATCGTGTTTTTGTCGGCATCGCGTTAATTGATACGTATTTCTCCGTTCGGATTTCGTATCTCACGCGAGTGTCAGTGCATCGAGTGAGGAACAGGAAGTGAGTAATCAGGGCGGAGAAAGCTGGCACGCGGACAGCGATACATCATATATTTCCAGGTATGCCAAATTATACCGAGTGTTTCCGATTTTAACTGGTATTTGACGAACTTACCCAAAATAAGAAAATATTCCATAGTATCAGAGTATAGGAAATTGAAAAATTAAATTTAGAATTTAGTGTAAGTCTCTTGTCGACTTGCGTTTTTAATAATGCTCCTTAGTTCTTAAGCCGTAAGTCTCATATTGAATACGCCAATTTACTTTTGTTTAGTCTTGTTATTATAAATTTTTATTCATTTAAATTCAAGACTCTAACGCGCTAAATCG